CGCAGGCTGCAGCGGGATGTACTTGGAAAATTGTACCATAAAACCACATAGCGTTAATCTCACGTTAAAAAAATTATCGACGTTAAAATGGCCTCGCGTTAACGTGTTAATAACGCGATAATTTTGACAGCACTAATATATATATATATATATATATACACACACATATGCATATATATATATATTCCTCAAAGGTTACAGTCCCATCCAACTATTGGCCCATAACCCACCTCTCCACAACATGGAAGCTCATGTCCAGGATTATAGCGGCTAAGATAAGCGGTCACATGGATCAATACATGAGCACAGCTCAGAGGGGAATTGGTAAAAATACCATTTCTATCTACCAACTCCTGGTAGATAGAACAGCTACTCAAGACTGCAGAACCTGAAACCCTAACCTAAGCACTGCCTACGACTCAATGCCACACACTTGGATCATTGAATGCTTGGAGCTATACATCATCAACAGGACTCTAAGAACATTCATTGCAAACTCAAGGAGGTTGTGGACCCTTGAGGCCAATGGTAAGACACCTGCACACATCTCCATCAAATGTGGCATATACCAAGAAGATGCGCTGTCTCCACTGCTGTACTGCATAGGTCTGAACCCCCCCAGCCCAATAATCAACAAGACTGGCTACGGGTACCAACTCAGGAACGGGGCTACCATCTGTCTCCTCCTTTACGTGGATGACATCAAGCTTTACGCTAAGAATGAGCGAGACATTGACTCACTGATCCATACCACCTGGATCTTCAGCACAGACATCGGGATATCATTCGGACTGGAGAAGTGTGGTCGGATGGTAACTAAGAGAGGAAAGGTAGTCCACACAGAGGGGGTCTCACCGCCAGAAGGAACAATAGCAGACACTGAAGACAGCTACAAGTACCTTGGAATCCCACAAGCAAATGGCAACATTGAAGAGGTAACAAGGAGAGCGGCTACGGTCAAATACCTCCAACGAGTAAGGCAGGTCCTAAAAGGCCAGCTCAATGGCAAGAATAAGTTTGGGCAATAAATAACTACGCTCTGCCAGTAATTAGATACCCTGCTGGAATAATAAGCTGGCCAAAGGAGGAGGCACAGGCCACAGATGTTAAGACACGAAACTTCTTTGTCCAGATGTTGTCAATAAAAAGTCAGGTGGGTCAAGCTGCAGAAGATAAATTAATGCAATGTTTTCAGCTATAATAAGTAATGTAATAGAAAAGGGCCCAATCAAGATGATCATTAAACATTTATCAGGGTAATTGTGGACAACAGGAAACCTGGAAGCTTGATTCCAGCTTCTCTGCTCTTTGGTCCGAGGCTCTTGGCAGCAAACTGGACCTCATGTTGGCCTCTAGTCTGTTAGTGCAGGTGTCTCCTAAACCATGTCCTCTTGACCCACTCTCAAATGACTGCACCAAATTCTTAGCAGAGGCTGCAGAGGTCAGTTAAACACCCATTTATTGAATTTAGTGTGTTGAGGCAGGAAATACCTAAAACTAGACAGAGGATTGAGATGGAAACCTCTGTGCTAGTGGATGCCGACTCTTTGATACTTTTATTTTATTTTTTATGAATCCCGAGTGGCCAGTGAGACGCAAAAAGCAGCATCTAAACGCAGTCCATTGACTATGCATATAGTATAGTCTACTGTACTGTACATTTATTCTTTGCATGGTCTGTTTTACCTACAATGTGGGGAAAGTTTGTAAAATATCCTACATTGTGGGAACTTACAGGTATATATGGGGACATTCAGCTGGTCTCCATATGGTAAAGTTCTCTTCTTTGACTTGAGTTTAGGTTTAGGACTAAGGGGTGGGGGTTGCAGCCACTGTAAGGAAAGGAAACATTCATGCTTATGTGCTCCATTCTAGCAACCCTCAGTCGCAGAAAGCAGTCTGTTGTGAAAACAGTGAACAGAGTCTTTAGAAAACAACCATGTCCTTCAGTGCTAGTCTCTCTGCCAAAGGCAACTTATTGTGCTGATACATAGGAGTAGAAACCAATACAGACCAGTTTTTAACTACAAATCATAAAATATAAGTAAAAAGACCAAAAAAAAGTTAAGATTATAGTAGGGCTGAAACAATTAATTGGAAA